TATGAAGTGGAACTTTGCTTCTCAGGTTTCATAACTGCCTTCTAAACTCTGTAGATCCTGCACTGATCATATTTACCCAGGTTAACTTGCAAAGTCTGGATCAAGTATATAGGCAGTGGATTTGACTAATTCTGTCTCGATGCTGCTTGCAATGGATCCAGGATGGAAGGCTCTCCTTATGTTCTTATAAGCTGCGGTGGCACAGTAGTTAGAGAGCAGTACTGCAGCTACTTCTGCTGACTGCCGGCTGCCTGCAGTTTGGCAGATCAAATCCCACCAGGCTCAAGGTTGACTCAGCCTTTCATCCTTCTGAAGTGGGTAAAATGAGGACCCAGATTGTTGGGGGCAATTGGCTGACTCTATAAACAGCTTAGAGAGGGCTGTAAAGCACTGTGAAGCAGTGTATAAGTCTAAGTGTGATTGCTATTATCAAAATCTTCTGGCTGTTGCCACGCACAGGCCTTTAGGAAGCCACAAGCAAAACAGGATCTTGTTCTTGTTTCACAACTGTTGGACTTGTGGGACTTACCATCTTGGGTCCTAAGATCCATATAGTTACTACAGGCAGCCCTTAACTTACACCTATTCTTTTAGGGACTGTTCAAAGTTATAATGGCACTGAAAAAAGTGACTAATGAATTTTGCACGCTAATCACCGTTGCAGCATCCCCATAGTCATGTGATCAAAGTTTGGGTACTTTGCAACTGGCATGTATTTATGGCCGTTTCACTATCCTGGGATCATGTGATCACCATTTGTAACTTTCCCAGCCAGCTTCTGACAAGCAAAGTCAATGGGGGAGGCCAGACTTATAACAACCACATGAGTCACTTAGCAACTGCAGTGATTCACTCAACAACCGTGACAAAATAGGCTGTAAAATGAGGCAAAACTCACTTAACAACTGCCCTGAAAAAAATGTGTTTTGAAGACTGAGACTGAAATGCTACGGCAAAGCAAAATAAGAAAATTGTTACTCTGCCACCACACACACAAGAAGACAAATCAAACCAATGACTGTTTTCAGCTGAATGCAGAGTTTTTTGCTTATTAAATCTATCCATTACTAATACAATTGTAATTTTATCTCTACCCTCGGTTTCTACTGGTAATTGTTAATTCATGGCAGTTTTAATTACTCTTTTACTTTGCCATGTAGGGCTCTATTATTATGTCTGAATACAATTTCCCTGGTGGAAAGAAGCCAAGGATGGGCTTGTTCTGTGGGGAAATGAACAACCGTGAGTTTGTGTTTGCTTACAGAAGTGCCTAAACCAGTATTTCTCAACCTTGGCAACTTGAAGATGTCTGGACTTCAACTCCCAGAATTCCCCAGCCAGCGAATGCTGGCTGGGGAATTCTGGGAGTTGAAGTCCAGACATCTTCAAGTTGCCAAGGTTGAGAAACACTGGCCTAAACTTTAGTCTCAAAGGGTTACATTTTTTATGGCACAAATGCATTTAGCTCTCACTGACTGAGGGCAAGGTTGGATCCCAAGAGCCAGTGGCCCAGCTAGCTTGGCTGAAATTATTCTCCGTATCTGAAAATATATTCCACAAACCCAAGGTAGAGACTGGTACCACAAGCAGGATGTCATTTATTGTGCTTTCTGTTTTTAATTTACTTCCTGAGGCAAAATTGATCCCTTTGGAAGTCCATGGCCTCAGTACAGTCATACCTTTTAGCTTAATTAAAAATAAAGAACAAGCACTGCTATATTTCTGAGTAAATGTGTTACACAAATCAATTCTCTGCACTTTTAATTTCTTTCTTTCCCAGCTCTCCTACTTTTATTTAGTCCGTGGGATTATGGGAAACATTTCTGTCTATCCTGAGATGTTTCTGAAATGCTTCCATATACATTTCTATGAAGCTTAAAGAGACAGTGAAATGGCAATATTTGGAAAGAAGTAGAACAAGTTGTTTGCAGATGAGTGCTAAAGTGAATGTGTCTGAACCAAAATTAATATGACTGCTTTAGCAGGCACAAAAGGAAAAGAAAAAAGGGAGGAGGAAAGGGAGGGAGAAATGGAAGGAAAGAGGGAGGGAGAGGAAATAAGGACGTTTTGTTGAATAGTAGAGAAGGAAAATAAACTTCCTACATGCAAACCATCAAAGACTCAGACTTCTGTATGATACTATATGCTAGTTTATTTTCATTTAATAAAGTAGGTAACCTGCTGTGATATATTTAACAACATCACTTCCCTGGGAAAATATTGATTCAATATGAAGATTAACATTCCTGATACTTTCCAGATGTGTGGTAACTTGGACTCTCAGAATTACTGATCAGCACTTTCTAGGTGGGGAAGAATAAGATGCTGGATCTCCCAAGTGGATTGGAGATTGATTTGGCTAGATCTCTGGTTCTGGGGCATTTCAGACAGGGGCAGGATCTAGGAAGGTTTAAAACAGCCATGCCAACCATGTAACATCTGAACAATGAGAGTTGCACTAGCTTCCAGTCTGCTTCCAGTACATTAAGAGCGGTGGTGGTACAGTGATCAGAATGCAGTATTGCATGCTAACTCTGTCCACCTCTAGGAGTTCAAATCTGACCAGCTCAAGGCTTCCATCCTTCTGAGGTGGATAAAATGAGGACGGTGTTAAATAATGGGTAACACTGTTCTTGTCAGTGTTACACACTTAGAATAAAGCCTTAACTACATCAAAATTCAAAAATAAACTTTGTAGTTGATTGTACTCAATTGCAGTTGGAATTGGTTTTCTTTCCGTCTAAATGGCAGAATGGATGGTTTTAAACATTATAGAGGGAAAAGAAGTAATATTGATTATCCTCACTTCAGTCCTGTTTAGTCATTTAGTTCTAAAGAGTAATGGGAAAACACAAGAGCACCGTCACTTGTTGAAGGACATGATTGATTTTTATTTCAGCATTAAATTAGGACCCCGGTCAGTTTGATACCTACCCTGCTATTTTCCCAGTGTTTAAACACTCTCTGCATATTTATTTATTAAATTTGTATACTGTCCAACTCCCAGTCACTCTAATAATGGAACATATGTTTTAGTGCTACACCTGTTACATTTTATGCAGAAAACACTAATGTACCCTATCCATAATTTTTCATGCAGCCAATAGAGCTAAAGAAAATATGCGGGCATGGAATGGAAGAAGCAAAACAGTTTTTTTTTTCCTAACGAGAATGTGACTAGTTTATAAAGGGTTGAAAAAGAAGATGAACAATTGGAAGGAATAGTCCTCTCCTTTCCTGGAAAAAAAATTGGCATTCCTCTTCTGAAGGCTTCTCTCTCCTCTGCACTTTGGAAACCTTTCAACAAGCAGTTTTTAAAAAGCAGCTTGAAGAACATTTTTATGAGCTTTGCTTGGAAGAGAAATTGCTCTGAGCTCCTGCTCGGATGCTCCCAGCCCAGATGGAGTCTTTGGGTTGTTTATTGGGGAAGTCCAAACTTTAATATTGCATTGCCTTGAGAGAGAGAGAGAGAAAAAAAATTCTGCAGCATCAAGGAAAAATATTTTGCTTCGTTTTTAAGCTGAATATTAGGAAGCATGGTTTTGGCTGGCCTCAGGTTAATGCTTGTGTATTTTACAGCTACTGTGTTTTGTTTCATGGAATCTTGTAATATATTGTTCTAAATTGGGTTTATGACTGTTGCATGTTCCTTTGGGATAATTGCCATTCTGAAAGGTGTTGATATTTCTAAAGAATCCGAGATGCATACATTGATTATATAAGTGAGTGTTTCATGCCTGAGAGAAGAAAACTGCTTTTGTTATGAAGAGCCTTTGCTTGAGCAATATGGAATAGCAGTCTCGGTGCTCCTGGTTTAGCACATTAACTATTATACAACTCTCAAATGTATGCATGTGTGGTGTGAATGGGTGGGAGAAACAATTTATATCGTTTATATTTCACACAGCTGCATTAACATCCTGCTTGAATATAACTGGTTGAGCTGTCTTTAAATTCTCTTGCTTGATGCTTGTGATTGTAAGAAAAACTTGTTTAGAATGCTACCTGTGTTCTTGATCGCCACCATTGAATGGCTGGTACATTGCAATTGGATAGCACTTAGCACTTGGACTTATATACCGCTTTACAGCTCTTTCTAAGCAGTTTACAGAGTCAGCCTATTGCCCCCAACAATCCGGCTCCTCATTTTACTGACCTTGGAAGGATGGAAGGCTGAGTCAGCCTTGAGCCTGGTGAGATTCGAACTGCCAAATTGCAGGCAGCCAGCAGTCAATTAATAGAAATAGCCTGCAGTACTGCATTCTAACCACTGCACCACCGCAACTCTTATGGATGGGAAGTTGAACATATGTACATGTTCTTCTTGGAGACTGAATTTGGTGAAAATGAAGAGTCAAAGTGAAGAAAAAGAAAAGGGTGTTGGACTAAATTCATTCTATTTCACAACCACTAAATTAAAGTGAGTGAGGTTGTGTGGTCAGGAGTTTTGTTTTTAGTGGTAAGTCAGTATAATGGCTTGATTCTAGCTCTACGGTCTATAACTTGGTGCTAGCAAATGAACTTAAATCTCTTATAATATACATTAATTTTGAGTCTTTCGGCAAATTGAGTGCATAATTCTACAGTATAAGACAATAGAAAAACATGTCATAGAGTATTCCATTCAGCTGCACAACAGCATGATGAATCACAGATCTTTCCTTTAGCCATGGTTTAAGTGAGCCACAACTGACTACCATCCACATCCACAGTCAATTCTTAGGCTGTAGCCAATAAAAGCCTTATTGTTTCCTACTTAGACTACAATCATACTAGTTTATGGCCTTGTAACTATTACCAAATAGGGTGGCTCAGTGGCTAAGACGCTGAGCTTGTCAATCAGAAAGGTGGGCAGTTTGGCAGTTCAAATCCCTAGTGCCGCATAATGTAGTGAACTCCCATTACTTGTCCCAGCTTCTGCCAACCTAGCAGTTCGAAAGCATGTAAAAATGCAAGTAGAAAAATAGGAAAAACCTTTGGTGGGAAGGTAATAGCGTTCCATGCACCTTCAGCATTTAGTCAGGCTGGGCACATAACCACGGATACGTTTTTGGACAGCGCTGGCTCTTCAGATTTGAAACAGAGATGAGCACCGCCCCCTAGAGTCGGGAACAACTAGCACATATGTGCTTGGGGAGCCTTTACCTTTAACTATTACAAAGTAGTTATTTATAGCAAGCCAATTTCAGGAGAAATGTGCAAGGCTCAGTTGTTTGTTTGGTGCTGCCCAGCTCCAGGCTGACTGTGGAGGATAAAAGGACCGTTTGATATGTTTCTTTCTTCTCCAATCATATTTACATTGTTAGGACACTGCAAGGCATTAAACCTATCAAGGCAATAGTATTAACTCAAAATTTAAAATAACACGTCAGGCCGCTTCAAACCTCATCAATTAATCAATTTGGCCTCAAGGTTTGGACTTTGAACATGAGATTTCTGAAGAGTGGCTTCTCCCTCGCACTCGGTGTGCCACTGATTGTAATTTATTTACTTTCATTTGTACATAGAAGCACTGCATTGCACTGACACAGAAGTAAAATGATCCCATAAAAGTAACGAAAGGCAAGGTTTTCCAATAGCTTGAGCATTTAATTAAGAAAGATCAGAGCTGCATATAGAAGATGTTTATGGAAATCATAAATTTTTAATTAATGTCTTTTCACAGCCGAGCTGCCAAGTAAGGGTGCTGAAAATGTTTTGCTACTTAATAAGCTGGGAGAACGATATAGCTGGCTTCCTGTGTGAAAGAGCAGAGTTAAAATGAGTCCTTGGTCATTATTGCAATTCATACTGTCTCTTTATGGACTCATACTATTTCTTCTCTTTCATTTCAGAGACTGGCTGATGCGGCAGAGAAGTTTCAGAAGGCCCATCGATGGCAAGACAACATTAAGGTAAGTTTGTAAATCTTGGCGTGGCCTTTTCTGATCTCCATGTCTTGGGCTCCTTTTTCCTCTTCCTTTGGTTTAACATGATCATCCTTAAACTAAGATATAGAAGTAGTCCTCGACTTACAACAGTTCATTTAGTTACAACGGCACTGAAAAAAGAGATGTGTGACCATTTTTCACACTTATGACCATCTCAACACTCCCATGGTCACATGATCAAAATTCAGGTGTTGGCAAGTAGTTCATATTTATGACCATTGTAGTATCCTGGGGGGGGGGTTTTCATGTGATCCCCTTTTGTGACCTTCTGACAAGCAAAGTCAACGGGGAAGCCACATTCACTTAATAACCAGGTTATACTAACTTAACAAATGCAATGATTCACTTAACCACTGTGGCAAGAAAAGTCATAAAATGGAGCATATTCACTTAACAAATGTTTCACTTAGCAACATAAATGTTGGGCTCAATTGTGGTCATAACTCAAGGACTACCTGTATTAAGATAAAATTTCTCTTCTGGCTGAGAATGCTGGCAATTGCAGTCCCAATACACAAGGAAGCTTTCGATTTGGAAAAACTGATCTAATATCTATTTATCAAAGATCCTTCTCACAAATTTATCCTTAAAAAACAAACAATCAGGCATCTTAGGCCATTAACTCATTTACTACAACATCTACCCACAAGAGGTGCTACTAGAGTGACATAAGATTATCCTTATTGCAGATCCTAAACTATACTTGTACCTGTCTCCAAATACGGGTGTGATCTATCATTGCACCTAAAGATACACCAAAGATTAAAATATTTTACAGGATCCTGACTTTTAACATTGTCCCACCATAGTTGTGCACTAAGAGATTTCTCACATCTCATGTTTCTTTGCGCTTTATTTCCCATCACCTAGCTTTTCCTTTCCTGTCTCCTAATTCTGTAACGTTCTAGTACTCTGGTTTCTGAAAGGAAGTTCCATCTTATCAAGTTCATGCATGGATGCCCTGTTCTGGTCATTTATTCATTCATTCATTTAATCAAACATATGAGGCCACCCATCTCACAGAAAACAATTTTGGGTAGCGTACAACAATCCAATAAAAAAGTAGAAATATACACAAGTCATTATCCAAAACCATTATTATAATAAAGGTTTAAAAGCATTTAAAACTATAAAAACTCAACTAAGACAGAGGTTCCTAGTTCTCTTAGTTCTCAATGCCTCCCAGCTCTAATGAAATTGAATAATGCCACTTGGAACTCATTTTTAGTATTACCTCTGCTCACACGTGCATGAAATAAGACAATTCAAAAGACTGAAGGCGAAGGTCGAGGTAATGGTGAGAAAGTTGTTTTCAGGTTGCCATGGAGAACTCCTTAGAAAGCTTGCCATTTTGCCATCTCGGCAGTCTGAGAGGAATTGTGTAGGTTGCCCTGCAGGGCCTGTCTAAAAAGATGGTTCTTAAACCAAAGAGGGCAGCAGGAGCCTGGCATTTTTCTTTGGTTCACCTTTTCCATAGGATTTGATGCAAGTTGAGGTAGGTTTTGGAGGAGGAAAGGACCATTGAAATGGATGCCAAGCAAATGTTGCTGCTTTAATGATTGCATTTGAGTTTGTAATTATGGCACCTCTGCCAGGAAATGGGTGTTCCACTTGGAAATTCAGCCAAATGAAACCCAAGAAAGGAGATCTTCTTTTCCTTTCAGGAAGAAGATTAAGGAAAATAATTTCAAGCCAGTCAATCCACTCTTGCTAATCATCTGTTATAGTGGGCGTAAGGGGAAGGAATATTTCTTGATGCAAGCTGGTTTGGTTCATACTATAAAACGTTGCCCCATGGTATTCTCCAAATGTATGTATTTATTTATTGCATTTCTTCACCATCCAATAGCCAAAGCTCTCTGGGCACTTCAGAAATTAATGGTGGAGACCGTAAAATATACAGATATAATAAAACTTAATGTAAAACATTAAACAAATAAAGCCATCTCAGAATGAATCCAAAATAAACAGCTAGGGGAGCCTAATAGGAATGGAAGAATCTAAATGATGCTAATAACTTTTAAAGCAAAATATTAAAAGGCTAAGCAGCCTGAGAGAATAAAAATGTCTCCACTTGACCCACTATAGACCACAGTGTAAGTATCATGTAAACTTTTCCAAGAACAGAAGGGCATACCTTAATCCAGGTACGTAACACCATTTATTTTTTTTAATCATTTGGCAGGGGTACTTGGAAAGCAACCTCAGAAAATGACCTTAGAGTCTATGTCCAATAAAGGAGTGATACTCTTCCAGGTACCTAAAGTTGCTTAGAATTTAAGAGTTAACACTTTTAAAAAGGCCTATTGGTACTAATGGATAAGCATTAGGAAAAAAAGTCATGGAAGCTTGTTTTTATAAATGAAAACAACAGTGAGACTATTATATGCTCAAAAGTAGTATATCAATCTACAGCAAAGGAATGGTTGGTGAAGAGGATGGAACTTGCAGAGATAGCTAAATAAATTTCATTTATTTCATTAGAAATAAAACAATATCTACATTTATAGTTCACTGGAAACCCCTTATAGACTTTTTGTATGAAATAGAAAAAAATGCGTTTATGATTGCTGGTTTTAATGATTAGGAAAAAAGTGAACTAGAAAAAAAGTAATCAGAGTGGAAGAGATAATTTTGTAATTGTACTTATATCGGTATTTGCTGCAAAGGATTTTGAAAGTGTCTCTCTCTTTTTAGCCTGTCTCTGTCCTTTGTATTTTTTTTAAATAAAAAAAATATATTTTGAAATATAAGGAAGGATAATCCAAACTGCAAGTCTTCTTATCAAGGATTTCTGTGTTAACTGACATTGTGTCACACTACTCCAAATAAAAGAATTAGGACATACATGATTCAGTACCACCTCATAAAGCAGGGTTTCCCAAACCATGAGGCATATCTTTCTGGGAAAGGTGCAGACAAGAGTTCAGAGTGAAGTGTGAGGAACTTTTTCTTTATATTGTTACAATAAATCTATCTTTCCTAAAGTTTTGTCTTCATTGTTCATTTATGTTCATTTCTATGTATGGGTTTTTGTGGGGGGTGTACGTAAAGTCTATACTCAAGGCAAAATGTTTAGGAACCTCTATCATAAAAGATGGTCTTCTGGACAAGTAAAATTGTGCAATGCAGGTTTTAGGTTTTGTATTCTTTACCATTTGTTTCAATTCTCTTGCCTGATTTCCTGGTCAGGTGGATGCCATATTTGAAGTGGCTCAAAGCTTATTGTGGGATACATAATTAAATGTCATTTGCAATTCTCTTCTAATAATCAGATGCATGAATGTGCATTACACAAAATGACCGTTCTGATGGGAGATAATCGTCCTGCATTTAAATTGATAATTTTTGCAGTGAGATATATCAGTTGGGAAATCCAAACCTGTGTTGAGTTGAAGGGCGGGTAATTGTTAAGTTCTTATTTTGCTTCTATTGACTTAAGATTTATTTTAGAATCTGCCCATGTAGTAATCAAGTTTTAAATCTATAGCCCAGTACAGAATTTTTTTAAAAAACTGATCGCAACTTATTTATGAAAAAAGACATTTAAGATATAATTCCAAGAGGAAAGGTTTAGCCACAGCTTTACTATTTTTTATCTTCTCTAGATGAATCCTGCTGTTACCAGGCTTTTTCCTTGGCTACCCCTTAATTTGTAAAGTCCTGATCATTGATTATTGATCTGTCATGAATATGGCAAAATGTGGAATGGTGCCGTGGCCTAGAGGTGGAGTTCTTGCCTCACAATCAGGAGGCTCTGGGTTTGATCCTAGGTAGCAGGAGATATTTCTCTCTCTGGGCACAATGAGAAAATATCTGCTGCAAACTCCGCAGTGGCAATAAGAAGAGCATCTGGCCAGTAAACATTCAGCTCCATTCAGCTGCCCCAGCTCCACCACGATGCAAAGGATTATAGGGTCATTAAAAGACTATGAATATGGCAAAATGTCTAACCACTAATGCTCCCACCTTTTCCATTTTTGCCAAGCCCCAAACAAATCATAGAATGCTTGAGGAATTCTAATATCTTTTTGTTTGCCTTCGCTGTTAGAGAGACACAATTCTCCTGATATAAATTTTGTTTCTCTGCTGTTTTTTTTTTTTACTTCACTGTTTTTCTTCACTGCCTTTTACTTTAACAACTTGACTAAATTAGACCTTGGCACTGGACTGGATTCCTAATTATAACTTCAAACATCATTTATAATTATTAATTATGATTTTATTGTAGTTTGAATCACTTGGATTATGTTGCAGGCAGAGAAATGGAAGGTGGGCTCATCACTTACCTGTGGGAATTAGAAACTTAGTTGGTTGTACTCTGCTTCTGAATAAACACTCTGGGACTGAAGGACGTGAGAGGTGTATGGAGCTGTTAGGAATGGCTCTGTTTATAATCTTCAGTCATGGATCTCTGCATACTTGAAATTCGAGGCTATTATTTTATGCAACTAATTATGAATTTATCATAGTCCACAACATCTTGTGCTATAATGAATTAGCTGGTAAGGGTACTCAAAGACTGTTTTGAGTGCGACAGATTGAACACAACAGCAACTAGCTTCTGGCACTAAATTCTGCTGCATGGATAAAGCATAAGCTGACTTTAATATCCATTGGATTCAAGTGCCAATTTCTCCTATATATCTGACGCAGGAAGCATGTGGATGTACCATATGCCTCTTAGAGTTTATAGCATTTTTGTTTACAAATATGCTTTAGAAGGTTTCTTATTTTTGTCTGTTTACATGGGTTTATTCAGTCATTCTGGAGAACTGTTCCCACAGTGATCATGTGAGATTTTTGGGAGGTCAGGTCACAATTCCAAAAGAAAATGGTGTGGCATTCCAGAGAAAGCAGAAAAAATAATATCTTAGATACAAGCATTTTCCAAAAGGTTTGAAAACAAAATAATGTGCTCTAGAGTATAAATTTAGATGGGGTGCTAATTGCAAATCCACATC